CCAGCCTCAATACTGACTTTCTTTCAAACCTTGTGCTTAATTCTACCTTTCAATTGTGTAAAGAAAATACAGGGGGGTGGGGGGGACTTTAGCAATGATACCTTAAACTTGCCCGAGGAAAAAGAAGGCAATAAAATTCTGCATCAACTTGCCAAAATATAATATTGATCAATCTTCCCCCTCCCCAAATTCTCCTCTGTCCAACAGCACCCATCTATCACTGGAAAGTGATAGAACATCTATCTAAACCAGTGTTTCTCAACCTTGGCAACTTGAAGATGCTGGCTGGGGAATTCTGGGAGTTGAAGTCCGGACATCTTCAAGTTGCCAAGGTTGAGAAACACTGGACTAGGAACAGGAATGTCTCTCCTTCCTTTTCCTCCTAATTGCACAGCTCTAGCAACAATCTACACAAGTTAGGAGAGAGAACAGCTAAGGAAACAGCAATGCTAATAGATAAGTTTACATCTCTGCAGATCTCCTGTCATAGGCATCTCACGACTATAACTTCCTTTTGTCTGAATTGTGGGTATTTTTAGAGTGAATAGTATAGCAAGAACCCTTCCAAGATGGTAACTGAACAAATATCATGCTAAGTAATAATTATGCAAAACATGTCAGTAATTAGATGAGACTTTCTCCAGCCTAAGGAATTTTTTAAAAAAGCAGATATTCCGGGGAAAAAAGGTAGGACAGACTTCATGTCATTTTTTTTCTCCCAGAAAATCTTTTGTTAACCTATAACAATGAGTGTTCTTTTACTTTTATTCACAGTATCTATTGTAGTTCATCTACTTTATTTAGCTGAGGAAATCAATGTTTCTTTTTCACTCTCTAATTCAGTTACTTTGCACATCCAATCCCATTCTTTCTTTTAAAATAGGTGATAAGAATATCAGAAGAGCCCGATTGCTGGATTAAGCAATCCAGCAATTCCCCCTTAGTGCTCAGCTTCTACAGAGTCCACCAATAAGACATATATATAGGAGTAGCAATTTCCTGCTGTGCCTCATAGATATTCTGAACATAGAGAATTCTACAACCCTTGTGACTAATGGCTCTTAAGAGAGCACTTTCTAATGCATTTGCCTTCCCAATCTTTAAAAGCATTTAAACTAATAGTTGTCACTGCATCGTATACCATGTATTGTATAAAAAAACCCAGGCCTGAAGGTGAAAAGAGACTTACCAACAAACCCATCCTTGCCAACGGTTTTCAGGGCAATCTTGTCTGCCAGGACAGATGAGTTCCCATGAGCAATGTTAGCAAATGGACCAGCATGGACAAACACTGGATTACCCTGAGAGATATGCATAGAAACAGAGGAAAGAAAGAAAGAAAAAAGAAAGAAAGGAGGAAGGAAGGAAAGAAGGAAGGAAAATGAGCATGTCATCTAAACTACACCAAACAAACATATCCTTCCAGTATTTAGAAGGACATATTGCTGCACTCAGTAAAAGTTATTCATATAGATAAGCATACACAGGACTGTAAAATTGTACAGCATCTGGAAGGCAAAAAAAAAAGCATCACAAGGGAAGTAACCTAATATCATGAATAGCATGTGGACATTGTAGCAAAATACATTCAGTCTAGTGGAATCAGGGGTGGGTTTCTCGCCCCGTTCCAACCGGATCGGTTGGAACGAGGCCGGTGGCGTCCTCGCACACGCACGCAGCGCGCGCACGCACGCAACATCCTCGCGCACGCACGCAGTGCGTGCATGCGTATTAGCGTCTGCGCGATGCTCCAGCTGCTCCTGGAGGATCGC